TCCGCTGCTTCCGCTGGCCCTTGCGATTGTTACCACCTCCCTTCTGCTCTGCAGGTCTGCCAGCTGAGTCTCTTGCAAGATTGACATTTCATGTGCTTTAGTCAAATTGCAGGAAGCTGGAAAAATTGACACATTTTGACAGAAAAGGGTGTGAACACTCGCAGTTGATGATCTGAGGGGGCACGGAACAAAAATAGTTGGGAGCAGACTGCAGACATGTATCTGTCCATATAGATACTTTTATCCTATGTCGTACAAGAAGATTGAAGTTTGCTCCCAAATTTTCAGATTGTGCTTTAAGATTTTAATTTAACTGTTTTAAATACTATTTTAAATTATTGCTCTTCTGTAGCAGTAACCTATGCTTTAGAAACACAAAGGCAGAAAAGTCAAGCTCTTTTTTTAATGCAGCCTGCACATGACTCAGGCCACCTTCCACAGAAGTTCTTATAATGTAGACATTGTAAAGGTAAAGTGGATAGGTAACTAAACAACAAAAATGAATGCAATGCTCTTTTTCTCCCAACATTCAGAGAGCTGGTTATGTTAAACAGTAAATAGAGAGGGGGGAAAAAAAAAAAAAAAAAAAAAAAAAAAAAAAAAGAGAGACTAAGATATTGAAACTGTTCTCTTGATTTAACCCCAGGACTGCAAATGCAAAGATGCCCAAGGCAGGGAAAATAGTTATTCTACTGGCATGCCACCATATTTCACCAGTCTGCACCAGAGCTAAAACTTTCAAAACCAAAGTGATTAATTCAGGTGCTGTGCTCCAAAGCATAGTTATAACTTGGCTCGAGCCAGCATGTCCCTGTGCAGCTCTGTGGAGTTGTCTTACATTTGCAGCTCAGTTTGGCTCCAGTTTGCGAAGTTCTTGTGCATGCTAAAGCTCCTCAAACCACCCCAGGAAGTTTGCTGGGCAATGCTAGGTTAGCATGTAATGGTTTATTAAGCCATACATTTTGTGTTTCACTTACCCATGTTAAAAACAAGGGCTTAGACTTCTACCTTGAAACTATTGATTGGGTAATAACGGTAATTATTTCTTGTGACACCCTGGAGCCTGCTCAACCACGGGGAGTCATCTCTGGGCAAGTATGACCAGACGCTGCCCTAGTGCTCTGCAGCTGGGATAGTCTGGCCAGGGCATTCCCGCCGGCCCGCAAGGGCAGCTGCCCGCCCATCACACACTTCATGCTGTTGCACATGAGAACTGCTCACCTCTTCTCCCAGGTGTGAAAGGGAGGCAAATGAAATCTATAGAAACTTCCAGTAGACAGAAATACCGCCTAGGTACCGCAGGGGAGAGCTCCTTCCTTCGGAGTCAGTGTTCAGGTGGGGTGGCTGAAGACCCCCGGTGGGCACTGGCACTTATAACGACTTATACGAAATGAAACCCGTCGGAGGTCACTCCCGGCCTTCCCCCTCAGGACGCGCCCACGGGCG